TACGTCAGATGATGACGAAGCCAGTTCAATAGGCCAGCGTGGCGTGGGCATAGTACTGAATAATACGGCCGAAGCTGCACTACTCTATTGGATCCCGGTCAACAGTCGCTTATGTGCGATACGCCTCCAAGGGTCTATAAGCGTCCGAAAGGGAAGAAACACCAAAAGGTGTCTGTTCATCATTTCAGCATATGCACCGAACAACTGCAGCTCTGACGCACAAAAAGACGAGTCCTATGATAAACTCACCGAACTCATTCGGTTGAACTGGAGTTCCGATATAGTTGTTCTAGCAGGTGACTTCAACGCTCAAGTTAGAAAATTGAGCGCATCGGCAGCTTGCTTAGGCGGCCATTGTGCTCTGTCCTGCCAGCGAACAGATAATGTCGATCGATTGCTCCAGTTCAGCATAGACCATCATCTGTTCCTATCCAATACCAACTTCCGATAGTTCCCAACGGACAGCAATGTGACGCTCAATTCAACTGGTAAACTAACTCAGATCGACCACACAGTAGTAAGCTACCGTTGGCGTGGTTCAAAACCAAACCTCAGGTGCTATTGGATCACCTGCGTTGAATTGGATCACGCATAAGTTTTGATGCAGTTCACACCCCAAACCACTGGTAGCAGAAAATTCCACCAAACTCGATTGTCAGATCACCGTTTATCGAACACAATCGTTAGTGCCCGTTTGGAATCGGAACTAGAGCAAGAGCTAAAAGCGCTTTGGGGTGGTAGTGTAGATGAACAACGAGGTCAGATTAGATAAGCAATGCATTCCACAGTGAAGGTTGTTTGTGGGTCTGAAGCTGTAGCCCGCCCAAGACATTAGATATCTGGTCAGTCATTAGCATTGATGCAGAAAAAGTGGCTAATCCAGACTGCCGGGATCAAAGCAGGGGTAGGTGGCTTCTGCATTGTCCGCTCACGAAGAGCCCCAAGAGATACCATGAGAACTGGTAGGCAATATTAGCTAGTGGAATGGAACTAGCAGGTGCATCGGGGAACAGTGAAATACTGTTCTAACTGATACGTGACACGAGACGTCGGCGAACTCGTTACTAAAACAGTCTACAATAAAACTGCCCCCATGTGCAAGGCTAGAACAGCGTACGCAGGACTTTAATACTTGTGGCGACAATGTGACGTTTCACTGAAGATGAAAAGTCGCGTATATTGTGCCACTGTACAATTCAGACCTTGAATTTGCGAGTCGAAGACATCCGTCGCCTAGTGGGTTAGTAACCTAGATGGGTGAATGATGGGAAGGGTGACGAGCCGCAACCTTTAGACACCCACCTCCGACCATACTGAGGCTTTTTGAGGTGCTACTGAAGCTCCGTGGGCAGTGTCGTGCGATCCTTCGGCAGAAGAAGAAATTCCGTCGTGCATTCTGGCTTTAAAGCTAGGAAAGATACGAGAACCGCGGCTGGCTCCTGGGAGAGGATAAGCCTGCTTGATGGATGGATATCTATCAAACTTCTTGGGACTTAGGCAAAGAAAACGTCCCCGGCTTGGATCGAGGTGGCACCTCCAGCCTTTGCACATCCAAGTGCTAACTGCAGGGCAACAGGACTGTAGTGCATAGATTCTGGGGTCAATCTCGGACGGGGTCACATACGCTAATAACAGTTCCTAGCTGAACAGGGGCCCATGCATTCCTGGTGAGTACGGAGTCATCGCCTTGGCCGCTGGGTCGTGGAAGCGACTTCGTCCGCCAAACGCGTGCGTCAGATACCAACTCCCGATTACTCTCAGTCTGGTTGGCCCGCCCACTGAGCGGTATACCGAGGTGTGGCTGCTGTTGCATCCAGACAGCTTCTTAGAGCCAGATTTTAGAGTTGAGTGCCTAGTGGAGACCAAAGAACGGGGAATACCCCCCAAAAGATGGACAGCCCTAAGAGCCAGAAATACTACACTTATCGGGTACCCCATACACTCCTTGTATGCATTACGAGTTTGGCAGGCATCAGTGAAGTTCGCTTTGCATTAATTCGCTGTACGATGATGAAGTGACCCCAAACTGGAAGCCCCGATGGAAGCCAGATGCGAACAAAGTTTGTAAACCCTCTACGAAACGTCATACTTTACCTACTTTGGTTTTTTATCTAACTGGGTAGATGTCTGAAAACAAAGCACCTTAGGGAAGACGTTGTCCAGGTATTCGTAGGACATGTTCCAGCCAACCCAGACGGCGAAGTGAAATGATCCTGCTCAACAGAAGACTGCCTGCACCCAACATACGTCTGACCTCATTGTTTCTCACGCGGTGCTCCCATCGTAGGCGGTCGCTGTTATATAGACAACGGTTGTTGAAAACAGATACTCATTAAAGAGGGACCAGAATATTCGGTTACCTATGGCAGACGACGTCTAGTGACAAATGAAGCGTTTCCTAGCTCTATGTATGGTTAATGAACATTCGTTTCTGGTTTGGGTGGAACGGTTCCGGGATGTTGGATTGAGTGAATGAGACCGATGACGGAATGCTGAGTTTCTAAAACGTACAGTACGGTTGCAACCATGATTTAACCACTCCGGAGATAATCCTTTTTTGGGTTTGGAAAAGAGTAAAATATAAAGATGCAAGCATTGAAGAACAATTCAGATGCAGTTCGTAACCGAAGTGGAAACATAACTTGAAACAACAGTCAGGTTGTGTCAGTTGGTCGGGCCATAACCCCAAAAGATGCGTTTGGTCGAAGGTGGAAAAACGAGGTAGGGGAAATCAGTTTAAAAGGAATTGGGGCAATGGCCCAACGAACCAAAAGGGGACTGGGATGTGCTGTTGGGAGAGAAGAATGGATTGATGTGAAAGCGAAGCAGAGAGTGTGTGGGTCAATCAGTTTACTCACGTGGTTGACAACAGTAACAATCTCGGCCTTGCCTCCCATGGTCTCAGTGTTTCATGAGCGCATTAGCCATCCCGTGTTGCAGGCAGTGAAATCTCTGGTAAATTGGCTGTTGTTATCTGTCCTTATCAGAGTCCGAATGTTGGCCTTGGACTGGGCAAATTGGCAGCATTCAGCCCATATGCAGATCATGGAACGTTTTTCTTTTTCCATAAAGATTGTTGTACCATGATTTGTTTAACACAAAATCTGGATACAGGCGTGTGTGAAAATAATAAGAATGTTGGATCATTGCTGCTAGGGAAGTGGTAAATGGTACAAAAGCATTGGTTGAAAGAACAGAAAAAAAGAAGATTTAGCAACACGATTGAAGGAAACAAGGTGTGATAGTCGGGAAGAAGAGACAGAATGATGAACATATGTCAAGACTCCAGCTTCAATAGAAAAGGAATGGAGAAGAGAGTTCGGAATTGAAGATGAGTAGATTCTGACAGAGAGGAGATTTGCTCCGTTCGGAAAATAAATCATGGAGAAAGATGATTTGAGGAAGTGGAGTATAGGATCAACATTTGGATTTAGGCATCGAATGTTTGTGAGGGCAGTGACAGAGAGAAAGAGAGCGCGTATTTCATGACTCAACTGAGTTTTACTGCTTATGTACGATGTGAGAGTGAACCAGCAGCCCCATCATGGGACTTTGAGTGCAGAATATACGGTCTCAAAAGGATGGGTATGGAAGTGAGTCGGATGACAGCAGGACTACAAAACACGCGTTCTGAACACAAGCTAAGAAGTTCATCTTTATTATCTGGACATCTGTCGAGGTGGTCACACAGCCAAGAACAGCTGGGTCGGACGATATCTGGCCACTGCGAGCATCCAGGTCTCTAACCAAAATCACGATATCCGTCTTAGGCTGTTTCAGAAGCTTGCTGATGATAAAACAGATGAAGCAAGTCATGCATAAAACGTGTTACTGTGCCACGTAGCAAATTTTTTCAGTTTCTACCTTTGCACTTCGAGGTGTTTTGATCAACAAACGATAAAAGTAAGGTTCAAAACAATGAGAGCAGTACCAAGTTAACTCCAGATTTTCATAGAATATGCGGATTTTACGGTCCCCAGTAGCAAATTTCTTTCATGGGCTACCTTAGGTTTGTGATGACCACCATAATGGAATTATAAAAGGAAGTCGTAGGTTCCACTACTACGAAGGTCAGGCCGATAATTGGATAGGTAGCTAATCTATGAAAGTAATTTCAAAATGACGAAACCCAACATGTGTTAAAGGAATAGGAGAAAAAAAGTACTCTCCGTCGCTGAATTAAGACAGAGTACCGTTCATCCCTGCAACGCGGATTGCACACTAAGAGGAAATGTGAATGGTCAGCGTGAATTAGGAGTATTTTCAGCCCGAAGGAGCACATTAAAAACGAGCACTTACATACGCCAAGAAGATCACAGTAGCCCAAAAACGGCTTCCCATTAGATTCACGTCCACCGACGATGTAGGTGTTCCATAAAGGATTCATACGGCATCTGCGGTTATAAAGAACTCGTGTAATCCAGGAATGCAATGCTCGGGGGCTGCAAGAGAACCGATTTGTCGAAGTTTGCGTGTTACTTAACATACCTCAGGGTGAAACCATCAGATAACAAACCATCTGTATGTGTTTGTTCCTCGATTCGTCGTTTCAGTAGCTGATAATCAGCGATGTCACCTGAGCAAGCCATCACCGTATTATCATTGATCTATAGTGAAATATGGATAATTTAAACCTAGATAACCCACCACAGAGACGCGCTCGAAATCGAGGTACCGAGCAAGTGACCCATAAGAAACCAGCGTATCCGCAGCAATGATCACTCCATCCGCATACTTGATTCCTAAAACCGAAGCACCTGTACAAGTAGGAGATAACGTATGCTGTTTTGAATCCGTCTCAGTGACCCGCGAGACAATCAAAGAACAGTCATTCATGGTTGAGGTGTTCTAAAACATGAAACAAAAGAAACGATAAAAGCTAAGATCAACAATGGAGCACCGACAAAACGATGAAAATTCGACAGACACCGCATTAGGAACAGACGATAGTTCGTTACAATATGCTTCATATAAATATTCAATTTAATTCAACACATAACCAGAATAGGCAAATGTGCCACAACATATAGACAAAAATAAATCTGTGGTGTGTTCACAGATTGTGTGGGCATGTTATTTCCCGGTTGCCTTGACGGAGGTAAACCTCAGGGTCCCCACCCGAAGCCTTTGGCTAGAAATCCAGATCTGCAAGACAACAGGATGGAGCTAAGCCCGCAGTACATTGGGGGTCGGTGCTAAGTTCATTGGATAATACGCCCTTTGGACGTCTAAGGTACCCAATTGAGCTGGTGATCACTGCCACAACCAGAAAGACAGCAAGGTTGACACAATGTGAGACCCAGTTATGGTTCCAGTTGCGAATTCCATACACGGATTGGAGGCCCAGTAATTTCAAGTCCACCTTGATCGTACCGCTTCAGGTCTTCAGTTGACCACCGAGTCGGCAACGCCATCCACGACACGGTGCGGAGGCCCGCCAAGAGAGTTGAGAGACGGGCCTTCGAAGAACATGGTCAAACCACTGTAGGCGCCGGTGTTGTAGCATTTTCGAAAGCTTGCCGATGTTCGAGCAGCACCGTCGAACCTCATCAATGGAAATCCGATATCTCCGATTTACTTTCGAGATGCGCCAATGATCGAAGACCTCGAGTTTCTTTGTATCTTGTACTCCTAGCGGCCAGGTTTCACGAACATAAGTCGGGATGGGGTGGATGGGAGTCTGATAAACCCGAAGCTGTGTTCAAGCTTATTTCGTATCGATTCCACAACGGTCTGAGGAGTTGCAGGAAGGCACTTCTAACTCCATCTACACGGATTTGGATTTCATCCTTAGCCTGACTATTTGATCTGGTTGTAGAGCCAAGATACTTGAGGACTTCGGTTGATTCGACAAGCCTCCCGTTAATCGAGAGGGTGTCGTGGCGGGAGTTTCGGTCGAAAGTGTCTTGGTTTCTGAAGTGNGGCCTGGACAAACTGGTTTATACGACTGATAACAGGTAATAGGAGGTAGTCCACGGTGTCTCCAAGTACATCATCCGCAAACTCGAGGTCAGCAATCCATGCACCTGGGCCAAGCTGCACTCCGGGGTAGTCGACGAGTGGTTGTCGCAATATCCAATCTACGGTGTAATAACACCAGCGATAGGGGACAGCCTTGCCTGACTCCAGAGCTTAGGGTAAACTCAGCTGATTCTTCTCCAGGGTCCAGGCCCGGATCCCTGAGTAGTATGACTAAAAGCCTGATGAACTTCTCAAGCATTATACCGGACCGCAATATGCGCCGCAAAGATCTTCCATTGAGAGTCAAACGCAGAGCGGAAATCAATGAAACATGCCGTGGTAGGCTGTTGGAACTTGTAGTGGTGTTTCAAAATCCTACGGAGAGTGAGGATTTGTTCAACACAGTCTCTTCCGCGGCGACCCCCCCCCCTCCATGGTTCGGGCGGGGGCGAGTAGCCCTGACGACTGCGAAGCGATTAAGCAGTTTCACTCCAAACAATTTGGCCCCAATATCAATGAGGCTGATTCCCCGGTAATTTTCGTATCAAGATTTGTCACCCTTTCTCAGAACCGGGACTGATATTTAAGTTGCCCAATCTTTTGGAAAAACTTCTCTTTCCCAAATGGAGTGGAAAATGGAGTGCAGCTGATCAATCAGAGTTGGTAGACAAGCTTTGAAGAGCTCTGGTGGTATCCCGTCTTCTCACAGGGGCCTTCATGCATTTCAGAGAAGTGACTGCATTGACGAGTTCTGCCGTACTAGGTGAGTCATAATTGATGTCGTAGGTCTCCGAATTGCTTGACACTTGTGGATAGTCAGGTTGGTTTGATGGGTGGTTGAGCAGCCCGTCCAAGTGTTCAACCCACCTTTGCGTGTTCTGTTCAGCTCCCTGAATAAGTCGGCCAATGGTGCTGCGCAACAGTGGTTTCGATGTCTGTCTCTTTCCTACTGCGACACGGATTAAACGGAATAGCTTTCCAAAGTCCGCTACGACGGTCGTAACCTCCATGCTGTCTGCAATCGCCTTCCTGTATTGTTTACGGTCCTTCTTGGCGGAGCGTGTCAATTGACGACGGAGAATACTAAATTCAGGAGAATCGATCATCCGTGCACCTCTTGCCTTTGCGGACAACTGCATCGTACGCTCGGAGTGACAGTCTCTTTTGTGGTAGAGTCCTACCTAAATGCCCCAGTGCCGCTTCTCTGATGGGCGTTTTCAGCGTGACTACTGTGCGTCGACAGTTGAATCATCGAAGGAAGTTGTTGGAAGCGGTTGCGTCCAGCAGCGCCTGCCTTCTCTCAGATCATTCCAATAGCACGAAGTTGAATTTGCCTAGGAGACGAGTCTTCCGGCGAGCAGTCAGGTGGATCTTAAAGCGGCCGCATAAAAGAGTCCGTGCCGTTCCAATTTCCAGTTTCTGCGCCGCGCAAGGAACGGCAGTCTCCTACCGAAGAGGCCCAGGGAGTACGTACCGAATCAATTTGATGTGCCGTTCGACCGTCATTCGAGTACCAAGTAAGTAGATGTTTTCTGGGGTGCGGAAAGCGAGTGTTGGCCACGACCAGCCAGTTAAGGTCATCAAATGTGACTATCCGTTCGGCATTTTCGCAACGCTGACCAATGCCGAACTTTCACAGAGTATGCTTGTCTGGTGGACCAGTGCATGCATTCCAGTCTTCTGCGATATGGAGAATGTCGCGTCTCGGACTGCGATTCACTGCGTCTTGAACTTGGTTGCAGAAGTCGTCTCTGATTGGTTCTTCCGAAGGCCTCACTATGGTCGGAGGTGGGTGAGTTGCGGATGGTCACCCTTCCCTTGCACTCCACTTTCAACTTTCCTTTCTTCTCCTATTCTTCATCCAATCGGGCAGTCAAAAGACAGCAACCAAAACCGGCCCATGAATATGCGTGGTTAATGGTTGTACAAACTGAACTGAACTGAACTGCACCGCGCGAGATGATCCCATACAACCAAGCGTCTCCATTAGCCTCTGCTGAAGAAGCCATAATCAATGCATTCTCGTGGTGGTGTTTTCCCACTAAAGTGAGAAGACGGAAAGCCGACATCCGGGGCTATAACCGAGTTGGTGGACCACTGGTAGTTCACCGAGGGAGGTTAACTAAAATTCCTGATTCCAAACTAACCAAGAGGTGGCGTTTTTTATTACACAATGATAATTACAGTAAAAGGAGAAATCCCCATGGATAAATAGCATACTGTAAACGGGAGAGTAGGGGAACATTCACGTAAGATCCAGTTTATTGATCCTGCGTTTAAAAAGTGTAAGATTGTAAGTTGGGGGAAAAACAGCAAGTGGGAGGATGTTCCAAAGTTTGGCACTTCAGGGGAAAAACGAAAACTGGAGCAGAGAAGTACGACATCTAGGAACAGAAACCTGATAAGGATGACTAGATGTCCATGTAAGGGATAGGCGGGTAAAAGTTGTAGGAAGAGGAACTGCCGAGGCAAGTTCCGAAGGATAAAATCCAAAGTANTGGCTCTTCGTTGAACACGATCAAGAAGGGAGCGAGAAGAAGACGAAGCCCCACCCCACACGTGACTACAGTATTACGGCCACGACGAGACTGTACCTTGACGTGGTGTGATGGCTTGTGCACCTCTTTGACCCAACGAGCTATAAAGGATGGCTTTTGTCGAGCAAAAGATCTAATTATGCCTGGAAGGTCAATGGGTAGAGGTCAGACAAAGTCCAGTCTCCTGATCCTCCAGGTTGGGGTTCGGCTTGAGTCGGCGTCTCAGTCGATAGAGCATGTTGCAGGAATAATTGATCTA